GTTGCAGGCCTTCGTAATTTAGGGGAGGTGTTGGACGCAATAAAGTCTACAGCAGCAGGATAAGGCCGCGGTGCAAGAAACTGATGCTAAAATAAAAAGGATAAGTGGAAGTGGTTTTGACATTCCACAATCGAGTGCGTAAATGAGGGAACATTAGAGCACCTCCAGGACTCTGTGCTGTGACCTGATGTCTTCAGTGTGTCGCTTGTTTCATCACAAAAGACATTTAGGGCAAGGGAAACTTTCTGCTTTTCGGAACTTGATGGGGAAAGAGTTGATCTCATTAGCTTAGACAGCTTGACTAACGAGCTCTCTTCTGCTCAAAAGAGTGCCTCCAAGTCACTCCACTTGGCCAGAGTTCTTTAGGAGCCTCCGGTAGCGGAAAGTTCAGAGTCTTGGTTTTTTTCTGTGATCCAGTTGTTGCGGATGTTTTTAATGAGATGAACAGGATCGTAGATCAAAAACATCTTACGTGCCGAATCTGTCAGGTATTGGGCAATCCATGGCTCATTGGGGTCTGGTGGAGGAAACATTTTGAAGAGCGACTGATTTATTCTATTGTTGTCCTTGATCAACCCCACAACTTTTACATCACGTTTCTCCTATGACAAGATAACCTCTCTCACACACTCAAACTGAAAGTCTGCCTTCAGTGCATGACATGGAGTGACTGTAGCAATAAATTTCTTTCCTACCAAAAAAACAACAACACTTGAAAATAATGCAGAACAGGGTCTTAGCAGCTTTTCCTTTGTCATCTGCAGAATAACCAAAGATCACACTTCCTCTGTACGTTCTGCTGGCCTTCAATTTCATCTACAATCAGGGTGCACCCTCTTTCTGCCTCAGTTTTCCCATCAAACAGCGTTCTGTAAAAGACATTATGCGCCGTGCTTTTGACGATCCAATAGTTTTTCACGTGCATATCGGCTAAAATTTGTCTACTCCCGATAGATAATCTTCCTCCTTCCTTTCATTCATTCTTTCTTTCTGTCTATCCTCGAATTTTTGCTGCGGCTGGAAAATCTGTGCATTTAATTCATTTATCTAGAAAGAAAATCAGTATCGGGATATTACGCTCAGCTTTCCCCAGTCCGAGAGTACGTTTCACACAAATAAGTGGGTAGGGCGGCAGGCGGAAGTGTAGGTGTAATACTGAGACTTCGTCGAGAAAATCGAAATCTACTTTTACTTTCGTTACGGCTCAGAATTGTCCAATGATAGTTTGTTAACGTTAGATTTACAGTTAATAAAAATTTGTAACCTGTAGTTTGTGCAAAAAAACACAGTGTCGCCATACAAATTAAATCGATATTCTCACTGATGTCACTATAATGGAAAAAAAAAATAATGAAGAAAAAGAAAGCAAGCGTCCTCCAACTTCTAGATATATCTAGATATCTCGGTCTAGATCTAGATCTAGATGTTTCCTTTTCTCATCACTCCGTGATTTTATCGCTCCTACTGCTGCGGTTTCCTCTTGGGCTCCAGTCTTACCCCTTCATGGGTTTCCTCTGCAGTACATCAAATAGAGCTATCACCTGTCCACACCTAGGTCCAGAAGCCCATCTCACCTCTCTTCTAGCCACCCGACTCAACCAGTCACTGTACCACGCCGGCCAAATGAGTCACAGCTGGCTCTCCTACCCTAGGCCTAGATCTAGATTGTCGGGCCCGTCATCGTGACCGGTCAGTGAACCTGTGGGAGTTCGCATCATGTTAGTACGGCATGAGTAAGGGACCGGCCGGTAGGCCTAATCAAAATTAATTAAAAGTAGGAGCTTTGCAGGCCTTCGTAATTTAGGGGAGGTGTTGGACGCAATAAAGTCTACAGCAGCAGGATAAGGCCGCGGTGCAAGAAACTGATGCTAAAATAAAAACGATAAGTGGAAGTGGTTTTGACATTCCGCAATCGAGTGCGTAAATGAGGGAACATTAGAGCACAGGCTTGATGATTGTATCTTCAAGGTTGGTGTTCCCGGGTTTGTCGGATTTGTCACTTATGACAAATTGAATAGCAGCAATGAGGAAATGCCATTTTCAACCCTTGGAAAGCTCTATATTGGATGCATATGCATCATGATGGCTTGTTGCTGATTAACAACTAGTACTGTGAATTAGCATTTTGAAAAAAATCAATACTTAGTCCATGATGCAGTGATTCACTGATTGCCATGTTTTCAACATCACTACATCCCACGCTCTCACAGTCCTTCCAGCTCAGTCTCTCAGCACACGCTCTCTTCTATTGTCACATTGTGCTCTGCCGTGAGCTTAACTCTAAAGGTTTTATAATTAAGTTTTGTCTTGCATGTGTTTTAAAATCTGTGATTGCTGAAACCAAACATGGTTTTGGCAGTTGATGTTCTTCTTGCCTCTTAACAGACCCAGATCAGGATTCACTTTGTATTTTTAGGGTAAAACGAGTTAAAATTAATTGTCTGTCATACCTAAGTCACAAAGGACTAATCAGATAAGTGTCCTATGCAAGTGTCGGGAAATATGTTTTACTATAGTTTCTATTGGTATGGGCTAGGGGTTTTGAAGTCAATTAGGCAATCACCCTGGACTCAATTCCAGATTCAGTACTGAATGATAGGTGCCTTGAACGATAGTCCATAAATGCTAAAAAAACAACTTGCCTCATTTCTTACACACTGTTCATCTTAACTTGTGCTCACCCAAACACCCCATTCCCCTCCCCACATATAAACACACGCGAGAGCAAGAGCACATGCACACACAGACACAAACACACACCTGTGCCTGCACAAACTAGTTTCAAAATATAATTATCCAATATCATGGAAAGCAAGTGCGTTCGGTGGGGCAACGATCATCTTTTTTTTCCTTCTTTGTCTTTGTACTGTCTGATTTTGGGCCAAAATACCTGAAGCTGACCCTGAGTCTACCTGAAATGATAACTTTGAGGTAGGCAGCCCTGTATTCACCACAAACATGACGACATTGCCATCTTCCTTTTCAAATTCAGAAGTCAATGAATTCATGAATGTTTTCACCAATTCTCGATAAATTAAAGTTAATATCTTCGACATGTCTTGACTTGGCATGCCTATTGTCTTCAGCATACACAATGATGGATGAAACAGTGATATTATCCAGGGAAAATTGAAATGATTGCACAGAATCCATGGAAAAAAAGTCATCCAAACAACACTTTGAAATTCGCAGCCTTTGCCATGCAGGCTTGTGGGAAACTACACACTGCCGTGTCAGCCCACATCACAGTGAAAGTAGGTCAGCCTTGATATCTCGGTCTAGATCTTCTAGATGTTTCCTTTTGTCATCACTCTGTGATTTTATCGCTCCTACTGCTGCAGTTTCCTCTTGGGCTCCAGTCTTACCCCTTCATTGGTTTCCTCTGCAGTACATCAAACAGAGCTATCACCTGTCCACACCTAGGTCCAGAAGCCCATCTCACCTCTCTTCTAGCCACCCGACTCAACCAGTCACTGTGCCATGCCGGCCAAACGAGTCACAGCTGGCTCTCCTACCCTAGGCCTAGATCTAGATTGTCAGGCCCATCATCGTGCCTGGTCAGTGAACCTGTGTGGGTTCGCATCATGTTAGTACGGCATGAGTAAGGGACCGACCGGTATCTGAAATGATTGCACAGAATCCATAGTCAACCAAACAACACTTTGAAATTCGCAGCCTTTGCCATGCGAGCTTGTGGAAAACTACACACTGCCGTGTCAGCCCACATCACACTGAAAGTAGGTCAGTCTTACGCCCGTTGCCTGATATTGGGGCGCCTAGGGGGGGGAGGGTGTCATGATGATATTTGGTGGGTTCAGTGGGGAGTGAAAGTGAAAGTCATGATCCATTTTTGCTTGACCCGTGTTGCAATGTTTGAGTTGATGATGTCCGTCACTGTTCGCAGTATCTATTCGGAGACGTCTCTGACGGAAATAGACCAATCAAAATGCTTTGTGCCTCTAGACCAAATAAAAACATCTGGAGGGTTACAGGGGGGCTTGCCCCCTGTTTAAACCAATAATTGATTTCCGACTGTTTAGTTGTGTGATCTGCAGCAAACAATACGCAGTTTGACCCCCCAAAGCAGTGCATCTGTGTGCGGGAGTGCGTCTCCGAATAGGTCCTGGGTGCTCGCCGGAGACGTCTCCGAATATCTTCTGCCGTCACTGTTGGAGTTGGAGAGTAACAGTTATATCCCAGGATGTCTTGTGCAGTTCTAAAACACGTTGTTTATTGGGACAGCAGTGGAGTGAGGCTATTTTGTGTTTTATTTTAGGGAGCCTCTAAAAACAGTCTTGGAGACATGCAATATTTTTACTTTTTTTAATATGCTATTTCAATTTTTGTTTTTTTGCTACTTGCATTTGTTACTTGCCGTTGGACAGCTGTTTGAGGAGGCTGTGACATTTTGGGGTGTACCATTTTGTCATTTACGTAGCAACGCAACAAAATGAGTCGCTCATTACACTGGCCTGGTTTTTTTTTTATTTCTCACGCAAAATCCTTGATATTTTTTACAACTGTCTGCTTATTAATACCCAAGTACAAGTGACTGTACAACTTTTGAAACAGAGCAGCTAGACTGATACTATTTCCATCTGATTTGGGGGACTTAAACAGACCTTTAATTTGATTCGCTTGGTGTTACATTGTTAGAGTGTGACATGTGACCTACCGGTATTTTGTCATGTGGTTACACATTTGTGAGGCAGCGTGGTGGAATCAGGCTCTCGTCAATTTTTGGGCATGTAGAGTTATTGGTATCATCTTAAAATTTCTTCACTTGTCTTTATTTGGATGAAAAAAATATCCATTTATCTTGAATACAAGTCGAGATATTTGCAAAAGAAGGAGGTAGGGGTCACCTGTTTTCAGAGGTAAAATTAGTGAGAAAATGGCCGCCAAAGATTAGTTATTTCCTAAGCTTAAGAGTCCGTGGTAACTGAAAATATACATTTTTTGTGCCTTTAATCAACGTTTTTCAGAAAAATCCACACAGAAATGAGTTCTTTAATGGACATGAAAGGTGTTGAGCCAAAAAAAATAAATTTGATAAATATTCACAAACCTGCAGAAAAATGCAAGTTTCTTCACTTTGATTATTTTGACGAGAGCATGATTCCACCACGCTGCCTCACATTTGTTCTGTGAGGGCATGCTTGAGCTTCCCCCAGGGTTGGGCTAAAACAACCTGCTGGGCTGAGTGGCGGACACTACTCAAGATTTATTCAGAATTCTGAGGGGTATACATCACTGATACGCACTACACAAGATCTACTCATTTTTGTGTATGTGGTTATAAGATAAGATAAGATACACCTTTATTGTCCAGATCCTGGCACATTGGTTTGGTGTTCCACCACGTGTACACGCACACACACACACACAAACACACACACATGCACACACAAGTAGGCTTACAATCTCATGCATAATATAAATGAGCAGCAATATAAACAATAATAATCGTAAGCTAGATACACACTCAATATTATTTTGATGCATGCTCTAAGGTCGTAAGTACACTTATACAAGATAGTTAAGATGGAAGCATTTTGATAGATGATGGTAAAAATGACCTTTTGTATCTTTCTTTGTTACAGATCAGAAGCATTATTTTTAGGAGTTGCCCGTCATCCTGTTGTTTATCTTTTCATTTCTGTACGCTGTTGTCTGTAGGAGGAGTTGACTGCTCTTGTTGTCTACTCATACTCGACTTTCCACACACTTGATGGTCAACTCTAGTAGGTAGGCCTATGTACCCACATACTAAAACCATGTTGTCTGAACTCTGCTGTCTACTAGTTTACCACTGCATATTCTCCCCCCCTTCAGGCTGTTCTCTGTTGTAGTTGTATACACTGCAGTGCTTATGTTTGTCTTCACTGTGCTGTGTATAAGACTTGGCTACCAGTTTTTTCTCTCTCATTTGGGTGTTGTCCTTAATAGTTAATATTAAACATGATTGATCCATGAGGGAAAGAAAGGGTGCGAAATATCAACATACAAAGATTCAGCATCAACATACAGAGATTCAGCATCAACACAGGAATGCACTCTTTCCATTCCTGCAAAGATGTGTACATGTAATTTGCTCACAAGTGTACACAAACAGTGTGTCTGAGGGCATGAACTCACTCTCTCCCCCTCTCACTCACTCACTCTCTCTGTGTGTCTCTCTCTTTCTCTTTTTCTGACACACACACACACAGACACACACACACACATTTTCATATCACCATAAAACTCTTAAAAACTGACAACCAGCATGTTCTGATCAAGTTTCCCCATGACTGGCAGTTGTCTTTTAGAGTTTTGTACAGTCACCCTCTGATGCTTGTGCTACTCACTAAAGATCACAATTGGCAGTGAAGGCTCTGCATACATTTACTTGCAAGCTTGGCTTATTCTGGATTTTCTGGTGGTTGGGGGTGGGGGGGGTCTTGAGTCAGATCAAGGTCATGGTTACCTCGGTGGTATTCTTGTCAAATACCACTCAGAGAAAAAGAAAGGTGGGGGTCGATGGAGAACTCGACATGGCTAATGCTTAACAATGGTTGAGTGGTTCATAGACTTGCGTTCTCAAGGTTCAATGTCCAGCAATGTCTATGTATCAGGTGTTAGATAGGTGAGTGGCAGCTGGTGTCCGTGTCAGTTGTGTTCTTGAGCAAGATGTTTCAACCCCAGGGAGGTGGCGTTGGTGACCAAGTGGTTAGGCTACCTGACTCGTAATTATGAGATTGCGGGTTTGGGGGTTCGAGCCTCAGCTTGGTCGGACGCTGTGTCCTTAGGAAAGGCACTTTACACGAATTTCCCACTTGGCTCGGTCCTTTCGGAGATGGACGTTATACTCGGAGGTCCCGCCTCTTAAATAACCATTTAGTATTAGTGTTGATAGGGGCGTTAAACCTATCCCATTTTCATATACTTCAAACCCAGGGGCTGCTGCACTGTGGCCTCCAGCAAAAGTTTTTCTGCCGTGAGATACCTTTATGTCACATGCTGTTTGTCAAGTGACAGCATCGATTCATCAACACCGGGGTGGACGATTGGTGGATTGTGTGGACAGAAACGCACTCGCTGACTCAAGAATTGTTTCTCAGTTGTGCAGTCATGAGGAAAGGCAGATAGACAGAAAAACAACAGAGAGGAAGAAAAGATAGACTGAAACAACAGAGAGGAAGAAAAGATAGACAGAAACAACAGAGAGGAAGAAAAGATAGACAGAAACAACAAAGAGGAAGAAAAGATAGATAGAACTGAGAAACAACAGGGAGGAAGAAAAGAAGAAGGCCCAAGCAATTGGTGTCCTCCAACCACCCTCAATATGGAGGAGAGCCTCTGAGTCTGAGACGAGTTGTTTGATTTATTGTGAGGAGGTATTTGCCCCTGTTGCTTTGCCTGGCCCTTTTCTCATCTCTGCTGGTGTTGCTGAGTTTCTGCAACATCAGTAGTCGTGTTTGAATGTAAACATTTAATATAATATTTGGTCATGGGGGGATGTGTACTTTTTTCATGTAATTCCTCTGTGATTGTAATATAATTTATATTTTTATTAAAGAAATGTTCTTGTCTGTATCTTAAACTCATTCGCTTTTCATTGATGGATATTTTTCCTCAGCCATAGAGCTGAACATTTTTTAAACAAGTATTTCCATTATGTTGAAGTAACTTGAAGGCTTTTCCCATTATCATATTTTGACGTAGCGACGGGCAGTGTACTAACCAGAACAAATATTTCGTCTCTTCCTTTGTAACGCAGAAGTTGCTGCATTGATCACTGCACAGTGTACCCACCCTGTTGTCAGCTGCTCTGCTAGAATGTTGTTCTTGTAACGGAGATCGGGCCTGTCTGTCATTTGGGGTATTTGTATGATTTATGTATTATTACCAGGAACAAACCATTGGGGGGGGGGGGGGGGGATAGTGCATAGAATTTGCTTTGAAATGATTATTGAACACATAAATAGATGTCAAAGATCACAGTGGACTGTGCTTAACTCTACCCCCTACCCAGTTGTCCTCTTGCATGCCTTAGATTTCTAGAACAA